TGCAAGTGGATTTGAATAATTATTCATTCATTAAACAAAATTTATTTCCGTAAATGTTAAACAATATTTATAGTAAATCATTATTATAACAAGAATATATGTAATTAAATTAATAATATGATAAACGATTAACTAGGATCTTTAATGGCAGATAAAAATATCTTTTCACGTAGGATAATAATTTAGATAAAAACATTAAAAAGGCAAAATACGCCATGCTTAAAATATTGGAACCACACTTCAAAAAATATTAATGCAAATGCAAGGTCAATAAACAGACTTAGCGTGTCACTTGCTATGCACTAAAATAGCAATTGTTTGTATCCACCCTTTAGAATTTTGTGCACCACCCTTAAAATTTTGAGGACATTTTCTGAAATTTCACCATTCTTTAAAAATCCTGGTGAAAGGGTTGCCATTGGGACCATAAGACAATGAAGAGGGTGAAAACAGTTCCATAATAAAAAAAAAAAAACTGTCCCTAAAGGTAAAATTTGACAATGTTAATGAGAACCTCAGACGACAAAAGAATTCCCCTTAAAATATGTTTTAAATGTAGTAGTAGTATCCGACGACAAGCAATCAAGAAAAAAACTAAACTGGAACTCTCCCGACACGAAATGTTTAGTGTACCATACAAACGTACGAACTGACCACAAGCAATCAAAACAAGACTAGACAAGAACGACTCGCTCGACAAGAAAATTTTAGTTTATTGTTAGTTTATTTACAAACATTCAAATACCTCTGACCGCAAGCAATCAAGGAAAGACTGGACAAGAACAAACCCGCGCGACACGAACAGTTTAGAATAATATACAAACGTTGAGACCGCTACACAACGGCCTTTTGCTTCGAGATTTGAGCATGAAGGCAAGGCAAAAGCAGCTTTCTTAGCTACGTTTTTTGTCCGCTGATCGGTTAAAAAACGTATTTCATTTTTATTTTATCACTAAAAAACAACTACTGTAAAATGTTTAGCCCATAAATGTGATGTGTGTGAAGAAAACATTAAACAATATTTTAATTTGGACCTTCAAAAAGCAGTAAAAAGAAATTACTATAAAATTTTAAGGGGGCTAAAGCCTGTTTAGCCCCCCTCTAAATCCGCCCCTGATTTAAACATTTTTAGTTTGTTATGGTTATCTCTCAAACCTCTGACATTTAAGGATATTAAATGCAGACTACATTTTTGGGGTTTTCTTTTCATTTTATATTTTTTATGTACTATTTAATTATAAATAATGACCAGTCAGAAAACATATTACTAATCGTAAATATTACTAATCGTAGCCTTATTCTATCTTACAGAGTCCGATTTCTTTTCCTCCTTCTCTGCATTTTTTCTCCACTTTCTGTAATCTTTTTTCTTGTTGTCGCCGCAAAGGACGGTCAGGCAGAAGTAGCAATCCCCGCATCAGAATTTTCATCTGGGGTTATATCTGGTCTACCAGCACTAACAAAATCGGTAATAGGCCTCAAGCCTTCCGTATTCTTTTCAGATTTTTTAAGTTTTTCTTTTTCTAATTTTTCAGCTTGTTTTTTTTCCCCCGCTTTTTTTTTGCTTCTTTTTTTCATTTTTACTAAAAGTGAATCCTTTAGGAGCAGCTGCAGATGAGCGCTCTTCTTGGTTAATACTTTTTACGCTATTATTTGCGACTTTCATTATCTGTTGGACCCTCTCATCTAACTCAAATGAATCTGGGTCACTACCTGGGTTGGCAGGTTTGTTGAGTAGGTCCTCAAGAATACCGATGACATTTTGTGCGTTATCCATTGGTTTATCTTTAACTGATTCTTTTCTTCCACTTGTATTTTTGCAAGCATTGCTTTGTACTTCCCCATCACTCGATTCAGAATCGCTCATGAGGTCACACGTCACTATATCTTCAGGTTCTGGTTCAATCTCCGACTCTATCCAATGATCTGTTATGCTTTTGTTGCAGGTATTTGCCCTGTGACCAGGTGTATTGCACTTATGAAATACCGTGCTTTTTAGCTTCGTTAGGCAGTCGTTTACTTTGTGGCCCGTTAAACCGCATTCAAAGCATGTTAAATCTACTTTCTGATCTCTATGGAAGATTCTCGCATTTAAATTATTTATCTTAAGCACTCTCGGACGACTTCCTTCGAATGGCTGCACAAAAACTGCTCTGTCTCCATTTAGAAATCTTGAAAGCTTTCCATTGATTCGAAATTTAATAACTTGTATTTCTCTTTGGATTTTGCATCCAAGTTTTTTTAAGGTATCAGTAATTTCTTCATCCCGAACAGACAAAGGTATATTCTTAACTATGATTCTTACTTCATTTTCATCTCTGCCGATATATAGGTTGACATCATACACTTTAACCTGTTTTCCATTTATTTTTAAATCAGAAGTGATTGCTTTCACTTTTTCGCTGTGATCCTTTATATAAATTCTCCTAAGTTTCTGATATATATGTTAATTTAATTATGGTCTTGTGTTGTATTTCCTTTTCTATCATTATCATAATCATCATAATTTATTATTATTATTATTATTATTATTATTATTATTATTATTATTATAATTATTATTATTATTATTATTATTATTATCGTGAGTGGATTTCCCATACGATTAAACATCATAACGGTACTGGGTTTGGTCTTCAGGAGTTCGTTCTTCGAACAGGTCATTCCATTCATAGAAGAAGCCTTTTGATGGATAAAGTGTACCTATTAGCAAAGGTTTGCCCAGGTCGAAAATAACTCCGGCTATATAAAATTGATTATAAGATTTAAAAATATTAATCTTATTATTGTAGTAGTGATAATACTATGTTAAATTATTGTTATTTATTTGTTATGTCATGCTATTTACATTTAAACTTAATGTATTGTTTAGGTATGAATTACTATATCCATGTAAAATTAATCTTATCAATTAAAATTGTGTATTTTAATAATATAGTAGGCATAGCCGAGGTCTAGCCTAGGCTAGGTCTAAACGAGTGACTATCATGTGAGTGTATAACATTATGGAAATATGAATAAAATGTAAAATTGTGAAAGAATAAAGTAAGAATGAAGAAAAGAAAAGAGATTTGGAGAGGCTGAAATTATTTCCGAAAAATATACAAAAGTATTCAATATGCTATTATTGCAATACGTTTTTGTAAACATTTTTGGACACTAATCATTAGAGGTCTCGGTGCCACAGCCTACACTTTTCATAATTCGAAATCGAATCGGACCTTAAGTGATTTCCAAAATCTCTTTATATGAAATAAAGAATAATTAAAGTTTAGAAAACAAACTAAAAACGAATGTCTTACCTGGAAGTACGTATACTGTATCATGACTGTATGAACATAATCATGTCCAGTGCATCGTTGTATGTGTATGTGGTATCTTGTGTTGTATTTTTTTGATTTAGTTTATTTACACTTTATTTATTTTGGGTAGACTTACATATTGGAACAGTACGTACTACATATTTACTTAAACTCTGTTAATTAATATTGTATTTGTATTCTTTTTTGTTACCAAATTATCAATTATCATAGAATTCCACCGATATGAAGGTGCATGTTTGAATAAGTAAATAAATAAATATCATAAAATAATATCATATCATCACCATCATGACCAGCATCACTATCATCATCATCAGCAGCAGCACAATTATTATTATTATTATTATTATTATTATTATTATTATTATATTTATTATTATTATTATTTGATTTTTATCAGGGAACAGTGGATTTGTACTGTTTCCTGTTTTTGATGTTATAATTTACTGAATTTCTTTAAGACGACCCATGCAGCCCGAATCCCTGTAACGAAGGTATTTGTAGCAGCAATAATTTTATAACAGCAACCTGTGATTGTTCTGGAACAGGAATGAAAGGAAACACGTGTAATAAAAGTAAGTGCATGATTTCCATTTTTATTTATTTATTTATTTAGTTTTTGTTAATTGATACATACTGGCGCACAATGTATTATCAAGAAAATGGGCAATATAACAAGCAACATCAATTGATTATAATTGATTCTTTTTCTTTAGATGACCCATGCAGTCCTAATCCTTGTAACGGAGGTATTTGTACCAGTCATAACAACGTGACAGCAACATGTGACTGTACCGGGACAGGAATGCAAGGCGAAGTGTGCGAATTAAGTTAGTAAATGGTGTTCCCAGCATATTCTTTTTCTGTTTTATATTTATTTTAATTCGTATTCATTAGGCCTATTATAAGTACTATTGCTCATTTCATCAACATTTCTCTTATTCTAACCAAGATCTTGCAACTATTACTTAATTGTGTTTGGCCAAAAGGTATAAGTTTCCATGTTCAAATCTATCTAGCGTCGGATTTAGGTATAACCCTTACACACTAGATTTAGGCGGATAAGAGGTTATGTGGTAGGCATACTAGCGCCACATTATGACCTTCACTGGCCCCTAAGGACCCAGCATAAAATTCCAACTATATTTTCACAGACTCCAAAATATAAGTTTACTATTAACTCATTAACGTGAATTTCATGTATGGGATGACCTAATGAATAAAAAAATACCGTATTTTGTTATTATTATTTAGTTAACCCGTGTTTTGGGGCGACATGTATGAACGGAGGCACTTGCAATGACTTAGGCAATGGTACCTTCTATTGTAACTGCACAGGCAATTATGAGGGTGATAAATGTGAAACATGTAAGTATTAGAAGTCGTCCAGTATATCTTACTGGCATTTAGTGCCAAAGCATTCATTAGTAAAATGTTTGCTCACGACAGACACAAACTTCTAGATATCCACCTACTTTAGCCTCTTAAATTTCAC